GGAGCTAACGCTGTTATAAGACGCATATTAATGTCACTAGGTTACCGACTAACCTAGCTAGCAAACGCTGCTAACATTAGCTACAAAAGGGTCTTTTTCTACCCCCCTTTTAATGTCGTTAACCTGCAGCATTGACCCCCTTTTACGTGTGGTTAATGAAACTCAACATCCACAGCTAAGGTTACTCTTGCTATTGTCTGTTAAAAAAACAAAAACATAACGGACTCTGGAAATCACTCACCTTCCTCGGCGGTGGCTGCATGTCGGAGTATTGACATGAATGGTATTTTCCCCCTTTATGAGATGTATTGTAATTCCAGAAGAGGAAATCCAAATAAGTGTTGGGGGGGGGGGGGTGGGGAGGTTGGGGGGCAAATATTTGTTTCCCCTCACACAAGATTCCCCATCGAGACGACAGGGAGGAAAGGACAGTTGTTTAAATTTGTACTCCGGCGGCCATGATGATGATAAATAGCTGGTTTATAGAGAGAGAGAAAAAAAAACTGAAGAAGCGAGGAGACACTGAGAGCACTTGTGTTGGTTGCTGCCTCTACTAAGAGGGGCTGCTGGTACTGTACTGTGTTGTGAAGAAGAAGCAGGAGGACAGACAGGCGGAGAAGAAAAGCAGAGGGGAAGAGGGATGGGAGGGGGGGAGAGAGGCATTGACGGGGGATCCCCTTCAGGAACTCAGTCCAATAGCTCCCCAAAGTGGCGCAGAATGACATAGCATCTGGTTTGCAATAATAATAATAATAATAATAAACCCTGGTAGAAGAAAGCCGTCCTGTTTTTTTTTTTGTGTGTGTGTTCTACATTTCTTTACCACGATCAACATTTGTTTGTAGGTGTTTTTCAAATGACGGAATAACGTAATGTGATTTTAATTCTTTTTTTTTTTTTTTTTGAGCATCGTGGTTATTTCAAAGCAGGGAAGAAGAAAAAAAAAAAAAAGCCCTGACACTGACAGGATGAGGCTGTGCGTCCCGCAGACCTGCATAGCAACAAGAATCCGCAGTCGATCGAAGAATAATCGATCGCATAGCCGACTAGGACCGAGTGGTACTGTAGGGAAACTGTATCTTGGAGAAGAAAAAAAAAAAAAAAGATAAAGAAAGATCGAAAAAGATTCACATCTAGACACTTGTTTTCTTGTTGTTGTTTTTTTTTTTGCAAACAATTATCTTAAAAAAATTCAAGCTTGCCTTTCAGATGCAACCCATATAAAGCCTGGAAATAACAACAATGCAACTCGTAATTTTATGTATTTATAATAATAATAAGGCTATACACCATAGCCGTAATTATAGTGTTGTTTTTACTATTGTATTTTGCGCCATTGTCTAGTGGACAGTGTAGCCTACTTCAAAAGTCTACCATGTATCAGACAGTAATAAAGTGGGGTCATTGGGTTCGTTTGAATTGGGTGCAAAGCGGTGCTGAGTGAAACATTCAAGGAATACACAGTGGAGGATGAAGATGTAGCACCTGGTTTGATAAAGTGTCTGTGGACATTTGCGCAGCCTGAATATGCTGGAAGTGTTTTGCTCAAGTATGATCAAAAGATACAAGCAGGCTTATTTTCGTTATAAAATAAGGTTGACGCATTTTTTTTCACCTATTCCACAACATGTCAGAGGGAAATATTGTACCACATCCATCTGTTAATTTGGTACTTTTAATTTGTTTTTGTTTTTTGATAAGCTAACCAATCAAGTGTGCCTTTATCTATTCAGAAAAGTATCCTCCTTAAGCTCAAGTGTCTTGGACCAGCTGAAAGACACATAGTCATGAACATGGAAACAGAGCTGGTTTTCTTATCTCATGAAGAGGTCATTTTATATATATAAACTCCTCAAATTTATTATTTCATTCACTTATTTTGCCCCTTTAGTAATACTAACTGTTTTATAATTATTATTTTACATTGTTGGAAAGCCTGATTAGTCACCTTTACAACAAGGTATGACTTGTAAGGATTGTGCATTCGTGGAATGAGTAACACAGCTAAACGTGTTGGTAGCGCCCAAAAAAAAAGATGTGCCAAAATCCCCTGCAGTGTTTTTCTGTTGGTATTCACTATAGTAAAAGGAATGCATGGACAGTTTATAGCATCAAAAGTTAGCTTTGGGAATGAACATACATTTTGCAGATGATGCCTACATTCTTTACCTTACATGAGGTTTGGCTGCAGGACTTCAAGTATGTGATTGAAATTTCCTTTCTTGTGAAATTTGCATCACCCCTCACCATTCCATTGTGCAGCCCCAGTTTCCAGGGTTTTCTGAGTAGAATTAAAACATAATTGTCCAGACCTCTCACAGCCAAGACTTACTTGATACTGATGGGTAGAAATGCAGGAAATAATGTCCGGAAATACTTTCGCTCACATCACTGATGCCAAAAATTTTAAGCAGATTGATATAGTCAGCAAGGTAACAAAGAGTTACAATAAGAAACGATTGTTGAAAAAATAGTACTGTATTTTGAAACATTACTTTTGGCTAAACATAGAAAGACTTCAAACTAAATAAATACATAAAAAATTAAAGCGCTGGAAGAACCAGTGTTATACTTCAGGCCTCCTACGTGCCATGGCCAAGGTTAAGGCTCAGGGCAAAGTAATGATTAATACACCAAGTTTCTGGAGCAGGTAAAACATTAAGTTCCCTTTCTCACCTTTTCTTCCAAACTAACACACACTTATTCAAACACATACACACAAACACCAAGTCACATTTTAGAGAAACCAAACACATCTCCTAACACCCGCGCATTAAGCTCTCTTCCAGTGGAACGGGGGGAAATGGCTGCCAGGATGCTTTGGGTTTTTGATTTCTCTTGTGGTTTGGCTTAGGACTATCTACAAGTTTTGGCCATATCAAGGTAGGATTTTTACAGTGAAAGCAGTCAAACACTTCAACAGAAGGTAGAAGAATGAGTAGATTATTAGTTCAGAAACCCACTTAGCATATTAGTCTGAGGGGTGTGAAGTCACAGGTAATGGTGTTTAAAACTCAACATTTCAACGGACACTGTATGAAATATGAGATTGCCTTGCTTTCAATATTTTTTTTTTGCTTTGAGCTGAGTTTAAAAACAAATAAAATGTATGTTGTTAATTAGGGAGTTAGGTGTGTTGTTTTTATGTGGTATACCGTTTGTGAAGTTTGTTTTCCTTTTCATTGTTTGTATTTGTAATGTATGTTTTAAAGATCTACCTGTCCAGCAACCACACACGTAAAATAGTTTCATAGTCTGGCTCAACAGATGTGTTGTCCATGTCCCCTGTCAAATAACCCTTTTCATAAATGAAACTTGGGAGGCCAAATTACATCATGGTCCAAAAAATGGATTGTCTTAATTTAATTTGATAAATTCTTTTTGTTTTTGTTGTTTTTCAGCCTGAAAATTGGTTTGTTTAGTAAACATCAGAAAACAAATATTTGAACAGTTGAAGATGTTGACAGTTTTGTCCGGATTACTGTCCTTTTGACTGAAAGACCAACAGCCTCCGGGGCCAACTGTTGGCGCGCTGCTGCATACAGGCTACAACTTGTTAGACAGGCACACGCCTCTGCAGGTTGTTGTTTTTTAACTCTCTCAAGTATCTAAGTTACTGTTCTCATTCAGCCTCAAACAACACAACCAGATACACACTATATCTACTCATGAGAATGAGGAAAAATTACACACGGTGAACACAGGCCTGACAGAGAAAAGTACACTGTGAGTATTTTCTTGTTTTTAAAGTTTATTTATGTCTTTATTTTAGAGAAAGGACAGTAGAGAGAGAGCAGCGATTCACATGCGGGAAAGGAGCCACAAGTTGGATTCGAACCTTAGCCACCCACCTTGTGGGACACAGCCTTCGTACATGGGGTGCATGCTCAAACCAGTAGCCTACCAGCACCGCCGTTTGAGTCATTTCACATTGTAGGTGTTTTATCTTATGGGAACAGGGATCAAACTAGTTTACTTTTTGGGATATTTGTATAAAGGTCATCCTGTTGCTCTGACTTGGTATGGCATGTAAACAGCAGGTCAAAGAATTTGAGGAGACCACAAAAGAGACCACCTGTTGTCTGTTTAAGAAAACCTGCAGCTGTTTTGAAGAGAAAAGAAGGTGGGCTTAAAGGGTCCAGGCAGAGTGAGTAAGAAATAAAGTTGTAGAAAAAGGAGAGCGCTGTAGCTTAAAGCAACTGAGAAACAAGTAAGTGTGCATGCATTGTTATTTCTATGTGAGTTTAACAGACTCACGTGGCTTTACAGGACTGGTTTGAACTTGAGTTTGTCACAAAAAACAGACATATTTGTAGTGAAAGACAAAAGTGGAGAGAGAGAGAGAGAGACCAAGGTTAAGTGAAACAAAAACACAGCAGTCATGGCAGAGAGTAAAGAAGCATAGTTTTAAAATGAGGTCTGGTTTGAGTTAAAAAGGTATTCCTCTGTCTCTCTCTCTCACAGCCAGGAGCCTTTGGTAAACTTGGAATTTAAAAGTACAAGAATGAACTCTGTGTCCCTGGTTAAAAACACCAAAAAAAAGTAAACTTGTTTAAAAATCTTGTTGACCCTAAAGTCTTTATCTGAATCATTTGCAGCAAAGATTCTTTATAGTGTTGGAAAAATGGATATTCGATGATTGTTAGACCAATAAATATATCTACTTATCTATGGTGCAGTAATGTCGAATTAGTGTATGAAGTTAACCTTGTTTGGTGAGGTGGTGGAACAGTATTACCCTTCATTATACATGCATCTATATGTTCTTTTACTCAATAAGAAAACAGGATTTAGAATTACATGTGGCGCTTTAATGTGACCATTTAAGAGTCCTCTTTTCTTCTCTCTAAATCTTAATATTATTTTCTCATTTACTCAACCATCCACTCAGCAAGACAAGGGCCATTAAAGAAAAATCTGTTTTAGATGGACTTACTCTGTACTAGCACATTGACTTTAAATTGGATGACTCAAGTTATAAACTGGATTGTGATTGCAAAATGGGCTGGTCAATTATGTTTCACATTGGATATCAAGCTGAGGCAAGTCAAAGTAAGTGACTATAGGAACATCCTCCGAGTCATGCCCGTTTGCTGTGTTCTAACACAGTCCGTTTCTGTGTTGTAATAACCTTTTTGGTGGTCATCATTTTTTCCTCTCTGTGTATCTTTTTCACAGGTGTTCTCACAACCAAGATGGCCACCAACCACAGCAATTACAGCGCCTTCTACTGCAAATTCAACGAGGACTTTAAATATATCCTCCTTCCTGTCAGCTATGCCCTGGTCTTTGTTATTGGCCTGGCACTGAACGCGACAGCCTTGTTTGTGATTGTGTTCCGCACTAAGCGCTGGAAGCCCTCCACCATCTACATGTTCAACCTGACGATGTGCGACACGCTCTACATCTTCACCTTGCCCTTCCTTGTCTATTACTACGCAGACGAGAACGACTGGCCCTTCACTGAACCATTGTGCAAGCTCATACGCTTCCTTTTTTACGCCAACTTATACGGTACAGTCCTAGAATCGAATACAGCAACAAAACGCAGATTTATAAACTGTATGTTACAATAATGGCAGTACGGCATTCAACAACAAGAAAGTAGGCCTATCTTATAATATGTCTATTATGATCTGTTGTAAATTACAACACCAAATGATATAATACATAGATATTAGAATATTTAACAAAACACGGCGCACACTGTAAGATACACAAGACTAACTAACAATATGGTACACACCACAACACCATGCTACACTGTAAGCTACAATGTTGAGTGCTGTAGCATGATGCATTTTGGTACACTACATTTGGCTATGCTGCAAGACACTATTGGCATGACATGACACCCTCTACATCAAGTGTGGAATTCCAACAAAAAAAAGGTAGAGGACCCAATTGCAGTCCAACAAAAAATATGTATTCAACCAAAAGGCAAAAGGGAAACAAAACGTACTTAATTAAATATTCAAAGAAAATCCCCAAATGCAACAGCAGATTTTGCAAAGCACATACAAACAGGTAGGTAGACGTCTGACAATGAACTGACATTAAGGGAAGAAACTCATAACGTGGACCCGAAAAATGACCACTGAATGACCACAAGGGCTCAGTCTACTGAAACCCCTACTGTAAAGTCTGCACTGCATACTGAACTGTGGCTTTTCAGAAAGGACCACTGACTAAATACAAGGGGCAATCAAACCCAGGTGAGACAAAAGATACAGGTGTAGAGCGCAATCAAAACTGAAGGAAAACACACAGAGGCAGGAAGAAAGAGTGGGGACAAGAACTACAAAATAAAACAGGAAACACTAAAGACACACAGAACTCTCAAGAATGTAACAATAAAAATACACACTAGAACTTAGAGAAACACAAGGAAGAGAAATTACTAAATAAAACAGGAAACACTAAACTAGGAAACATTAAGAAAAAGAAACACACAAGGGAAACAAGCAACACCAGAGAAGAATGAGACAAAGGAAATCTAAACTCTGAAATACACAAAATGAAAAACTAAATGAAAATACTAAATCATGACACTCTAGCCAACAATATGCAGGCCTATTCGTTCTGAATTTAAAACAAGATGTATCTGACTTTACGTCAGCTCAATGAAACATTGTGATATGACACAACACAAGATATATTGCTTATATATATTAATACTTATAAAGACACACCACTGATTAAGAAAATACTTTACTCTCAAATGTGTACTGATCCAAAATATTCTAACATTTATTTTAAGATAAGGATGTCTAAACATGATATGAAAAAGGATGTCAATACATTTCTTTTATTTTGGCAGGTTCTATCCTCTTCCTGTGCTGTATCAGCCTACATCGCTTCATTGGTATCTGCTACCCAGTCCGCTCCATGAGCTGGGTCAGTGCGCGTCGGGCCAGACTGGTATCTGTGGCAGTGTGGGCCATTGTTTTTTGCTGCCAGGCGCCTATTCTATACTTCTCAAGAATCAGGTGATTAAAAAAAGTACAACTTCCTTTTCTCTTTCTTTCTGTTTTACTTTTCTTAAACTTTCTTTCTTTCACTGAATCACTTGCTTTCTTTGTCCTTTAATTCAAAGCTTAATCAATTCATTGTACTCTGTTCATCTTTTGACTATTGATTTTTGTGGCAGACCAATTCTTCCAGGCGCCTTATCTTAGTGGGCTCTAATGAGACTCACTTAAATGAACAGACAATCTACTATTTAACCCATTACAGTTTATGACTTTCTTTCATCGACCCTATCTCCTTTCCTGTGGGTCGATGCCAAACATGTCAGCAGTATCATTAAACAATCTGAACAACTGTGATCTGCTTTCTCCTTTACCAGGGCTCGGGACACTGGGCGGGTCTGCTACGACACCACAAGCCCAGAGCTTTTTGATGACTTCCTGGTGTACAGTTCGATCATATCAGTTCTCATGTTTGCCCTGCCCTTCATGGTGGTGATGGTATGCAATGGCCTTATGGTGCGGAAACTTC